GACACTTCAAAGAGCAGAGGTAAGATTGCTTCTGGGAAATTAGCACCACCTCCGCCCCAACCTCGATTTTCTTGGACCATCTAACACAAGTCAAACCCAGAGATGGGAAATATTGATGTGACTGCAACACAAATATTGCTGAGACCCTAGCTGAGACCCCAGGCACATTGTTGTCTCTGAGTGTTGTGTTTTGTTTCTTCATCCGTACTATGGATCAGTAGGAGAGAGAAGGGGGGAGAAAATTACAGCGTTTATCGCGCTGCATACTTTTCATATTCTATTTCATTTGATATTTTCAAGAACTGTATGAGCCGGAGAGCATCGCTATCTGGGCTTTGGATCCATCCTGCTGCACAGCACAGGACCCCCTCCTGGCCCCATGCACCCAGCACAGAGACTCTGCCCGTGGTGCCCGTACCCAGGGCCATGGAAGCAAAACCTGGCTTTGTGACCCATGGCCAACACCCTTCTTAACTCTCGTGTGCTGAATTCCTCCTGCTGTAAATGGAGCCGAATGGTTTCAGCCTCTCCCTCCAGGCCAAGAACACTTGGGAATCACAGAGCCTCCCTAAGGCTGGAAACAAATATTGTTCAGCAAGTGGAAACTTACCAGAGCAGTTAATCAAGGCTGCGCAGCTGGGGTGGGGGCTCTCTCTACCACCTCCCTCCTGCTCCTCAACCTTGCGGTTCTGCTCCTGGTAACATCTTAGGTCAAGCTTGTGGCTAAATATAGCCCCTCTCCCGGCTGGGCTGTTATCAGCACTGTCAGCGACGTCCCAGATTTTCAGACTTAGCATCAGGCTGTGACTTGACAACCAAGCTAAGGTATGGGGTCGGGATTTTGTTTTCAGGAGGCCTACCCTCTTCCCCACTCTGATTTTAGGCACCAGGATGGACCCCAGGTGTGGAGGGGGGTGAGGCTGGACGGAGCCTGGCCCTGCAGACCCAGAGGGCTGAGTCTTCAAGATCGAAGTCTCTGACTCCTGTGCCCCATGACCGTGGGAACATTCTGCCTCACAGGAGCCATAAGGTTCACCTGTAGGGCCAGGGTAAGGCAACGTGGGAAGGTGGGCAGCCATCGACCCTCTGAGCCACAGCGGCCTCATGTACAAGAAGGGATGATGAACTTCATGCTTGCCATTACGGTGACTAAAGGCAAGCAAGGGTGTGCTGACTCTCTTGCAAGCGAAGCTCCTCACGCTGGTGGAATTGCTGTGTACTGAGTCTGCCACGAGGTTCGGGCTTTGCCATCTCTCCACCAGCCCTGCCGTACAGATACCCAGTTCAGCCCAGCTAACATGTTCTGTGCGTCTCTGCATGCTGGCAGTCCAGGGCCCGGAAAAATGCTGGGCTCAAGAGCACACAGACAGTGAGCCGCAGAGACAGGACTGAAGGCTGGGTTTGATCGTGGCAAAGTCTCTACAATCCCTGTCTGGCGCTCCCTCCTCCCTCCTCCCTCCTCCTCAGGTGACGATCACTTAATTTTTCTCTGGCTTATTGCTCAGAATTCTTAAGGAGGAAACCAACTGAGAGGAGAGGAGTACCAGACAGGGCTGAGGGAGGGGGCTCAGAGGGGGCTCACCCCCAAAAGAGCAGGTTGGGGGGGGCAGGGCTGCTGCACTGTCCCATCTGAAAACTCTAGGAGCATCTTTCTATGTCAGTGGCATCCCTGGATTTGTGCAGCCCACAGCCTGTGCAGCTGAATGTGGTGGCCCCTCTAGGGCCACTTCCCCTCCAGGCCACCTTGGCCCCTTGGAGATATAGTTGGCTGTGTACACTCTTTCCTCATCCCCCTGAGCCCCACAGGTTCCCAGGTTAGAAGGAGGGATTGAACTTAGCTTAGTTGAAGTGATTTATTTTTTATGAGTGTCTATTCCCCTCTTTAGTGGTACAATGCAGTAAGCTTCCTTTATTCTAGAAGCATTTGTTTTGTAACCACTGTGGGCCAGGCAATGAGGATACAGCAGTGATGAAGACAGACAAGGTCCCTGCTTTCCTGAAACTTAAATTTGGGGGTTGGGATGGGGGATTCGAGATGAGAGTGTGGAGCCTTGAGGCCAGGGTACAGTGTTTGCATTTTACTCAGTGTTACAGGAAGCTGAAGGTGGGTTTAATCAGGGGGCCAGAAGGATCCGATGTGCGTATTAGAAAGACTTCTCTGGTTGCTGAATGGAATACAGAATGTTGTAGGATGAGATGGGGGCAGGGCGTCAGTCAGAAGAACGGGTAGGGGTCCCGCTGAGAGAGATGGTGGCCCAGAGACTCAAGGAGAGCAAGGAGGAGGTCATTTGGGATAGAATTTGGCTCTGAGGCCTCGGGTGTGGGGGATGAGGAAGAGGAGAGCCCAGCAGGCCTCCTAGTACTGAGCACTTACTCACTGTCCCACTTATGGTCTGCGTGTGTTTTGGGAAGCCACCATGCAATGGGCTGCTATCCACAGCTAACAGGTGGTGATCATGTCTCTGTGACTGAGCGATAGTCACGTATTGACTCATTTTAATAATCACGGCAATCCTAGGAGAGAGGTACTATTGCTATGTAAATAATTTGCTCTAGTCACTTGGCAGGTGCCCAGGCATCCTGGCTCCTCCAGAAAACTGGTCTTAGCAGTAGCTGTTAGCCTCTCCCTGGGCCACCGGCTCTGGTAATCAGGAACTTTGCTCATGCCCATGGCTAAAGGGTCATGTCCACTTGATAAGTTGACGTTTGCCTCCTCCAAACATAGGTTTGTAATTCCTCTTATGAGTTTGCTGAGGACTAACGGAACGGTCCCCACTCTCTGTCCCTTAAACAGCAGATGAGCCTTACCCTGGAGAAGGTGGAGGATGGCAGGCCTGCCTTGGACCCTCCAGAGAGCTGGGCCACCCTGCTGAGGGGGCCCACAGAAAGGTCTGGCGTCCCTGACCCCAGGGAGCCCAGCAGTACCTTTGAGCCTGTCTGGAAGTTTCTGCACAACAGAAGGGCTCTCATTTGGGTGGTCCCATCCAGATGCACACATGCAATGGCTAGTCCAGTTGCAGGTCATCAAGGAGAGCTTGTGATGTCGGCTGCAAGTTGGCCACGGCCATGCTGGTTAGTACCACATGCTGCGGGCAGAGGAGGGAGGTGCAGAAGCCCCAAGCCCCTGTCCTTTCTCTAACGAGGAAACTTTGCCCCACTCTATCTTTGCATGGATCACTGGACCGGTTCCCTGGTCATAAATGCCTCCTCTTCGAAGCATAGCGGGACAGGCCCGCTCAGAGTCTGGGGCTGAATGACCCCCCTGTGTGCGCGTGCATGGGTGTGCTCAGCCCTGGTACGCTTGTGGAAGGGCGGCAGCTCTCCTGTGGATGGTGAGCAAGTCAGAATAAAGAGGATGGCATTTGGGGCATTCTTGGCAGAGATGAGATGGTAGTGCAGCCAGGGATCCAGGAAAGGGAGGACAAGGGGGATCCTCGGGATCTCAGGGTCCCATCAGGCAGCTCGCACTTGTGAATGAGGTAGCATCACCTCTGTTTTCCAGAGGGACACTGGGTCTCCAGCTCACAGCAGCACCCTAGGGCCGGGCCAGCTTTGCCCCTGGCTCTCATGGCGTGCCTCCTGCCGTTACCTCTTTGGCTCTCACATGGCCATCCATTGTGTTAATTGAGTGCTTCACAGCGTTTGAAGGCCAGGTTTTGTGCTTGAATATATTGCCACATTAATAACTTCAGAACATTTCAGGCAGCGTCGAAATAGTAAATTAGGACGCGACGGGCCATATATTCAGGGCAGAGAGCTAAAGTGCCATTTTATTACATGTGCCATGGAATTAAAGGCTTAATTTTCTTTTAAAAGATGGCGATGCATCATTTCCTGCAGCCAGGTAAAAACAGTTAGCAGGAATGATTTATCCTTCATTTCATTTAAAAATAAGAAACCGGAATCCTAGGATCTCACGCTCTGTTATTTATCTCTGCCTGGAGGGCACTTGAGACTTTGATCTGCCATCCTGACTTGAAGGACACCGCCAAGCCCTGGGAGTGGTCAGGGGAGGGAGGTGAGGATGGAGCCGTGGCCGTCCTTATGGGTTGGCGGGCCCCGCAAGGCTCAGAATGTAGGTGGGAGGTGTTCTTCTCCCAGATTCGGCCCCGGGCTGGCTCTGGCTGGGCCATCACCTCTTGGCACCTGGTCCTCTCGCCTACAAAATGAGTAACAGCAGGAGCTACTCATGGGACTGTTGTAAGGACCTCATGAGATTATAGCTGGAAACAAAGTGGGTCTTTAGCGACTCTTGCACAATTAAAAAAAAATTATTTTTTTATTTTTGAGAGAGAGCAAGTGAGCGAGCAAGCCGGGGGCAGGGAGAGGCAGAGGAAGAGAGAGAATCCCAGGTAGACTCCCCACTGAGCATGGAGCCCAACGTGGGGCTTGATCCTAGGACCCCACGATCATGACCTGAGCTGAAACCAGGAGTTGCAGGCTCAACTGACTAAGCCACCCAGGGGCCCCACGGCTCTTGCACAATTATGTGGTATTTGCAGGAAGAAAATGTTAGGACAGCTCTCTTGCTTTCTGATAATAATAGTAATACTCACTGAGGAGAATTTGGAAAATAGAGGAAATAGCAAAGAAGAAAATAAAGAACTGGTATCATATTGCCTGAAGATAGTGTGATTTTTTTTTTCGTTTTTTTGGCATACTTTTACAAAGAGAATTAGATTCACATACATTTGTAAAATTCTGGTACTCTCTTTTTCTGGCCTGATATTATAATGTGAACGTCTGTCTCATCATTGACAGTTGTCCACAAACTTCTTATATGGCTGTATACTATTCCTTTAGATGAATGCACGTGACTATGCTGATCCCCCCCGTTGGATCTTTACATTCTTTTTTTTATCAACCCTCCTTTTTCAGTCCTCTATAATTTATAACTGTGAAGGGCAGATATTATTAACCTGTTTTATACCCTACTGCACCCTGGCTGCAGTAACAAATTATCCCTGAGGGGCTTGAAACACAGAGGTTTATTCTCTCACCGATCTGGGGTCCAGAAGTCCAAGATCGAGGTGCCTGCAGAGCTGAGCTGCCTTCCAACACTCTCCTTTGCCAGCTTCTCGTGGCTCCCAGTGTTTCTTGGCTTGTGGCTGCCATCACCCCAGTCTCTGCCTCTGTCTTCACACGGCTTCACCTCCGTGCATGCCTCTCTCCTCTGAGTGTCTCTTGTAGGGACCCTTTGTCACTGGATGGAGGGCCTGCAAAGACTTTCTCCAAATAAAGTCACATTCGCAAGTTCTAAGGGTTAGTGTGTGGACAAGTATTTTTAGGGGACACCATTCAGCCCATGGCAGCCAGGACACTTGCCCCAGGTCACAATGTTTTAGGTAGCGGAGCTGGGATTCTAACCTATGCATTTGGCCTAAGCATATTTAATTTGTCTGAACATCTTTTTACCTACACGAGAGTCATCTTTTGAATTTTTTGTTTTAAAGACATCTTTATCAGATGACACTGCTCTCTCCTGTCTGTCCTTGCCAGGTCCTGTCACCCTTGGGGGTAGGACCAGCAGATGTCATCCTCAGATCCGTCCCTGCCAGTGGGTGGGGCCTGCCCAGCCACCTGCCCGCCCAGCTGCAGTCTCCCACCCTGGGTGCCTGGGCTTTAGCGTCAATTCTAACAGGAGCCAATACTCACAGTCTGGCAGGCATGAGCTCCCCCTGGGATTTCTGTTGTCCCAACCCACTGCCCACCCTTCCAGATACCTGAGGTATCAATAGTACCCCCTGGATCCAGACCAGCTTTGCCTTGTCTGCTCCGGGCTTCTCTCCTTCTCCAGGGCGACCCCAGATCCGGTCTGCTCTGCCTCCTCATTGAGGTCTGGGGGACACAACCCCCCTACAGCACCTTCTCTAGACACTTGACCTCCCCATGTGGCCACAGCTGCTGAAAAGCTCAAGCAAGTTTCCTAAGAGTGACATTGCCCTGCCCACTGCTTTGCAAATCTGATTACTAGATGAGAAGACTTTGTGGGATTCCCTGGGGATGGCTAAGAAGCTGGGGGAAGCGCCTCTGAGTGGGCCTGGCTAGCTGACTCGCCCCCACTTCTTCCTGTGGGCCTGAGCATTGGCTCTGGTAACCCCCTAGTTATTCTTAGCTCACACTGATTTATGGCTGTCTATGCCTGTAACCAGGTCTGGGTTCAAACCCTGCCTCTACCTTTCCTGGCAAGGCCTGTATCGTAGTTATTAAGGTAAGAGGCTGGAAGGAAGACTGCTCAACCCCAGGAACTCAGACGCCTGGGTTTCTGCTTCCTGGCAGCAGCACGGTGGGGCCGTGGTGCCCACAGAAGGGGAGCAGCTTTGGCCGTGACAGGGAGGATGCTCTGAGGACGGGGTGTGGTGGTGTGGGGGGCTCTCTGCACTAGTCAGGGGGAAGGGTCTTGCTGAGACCTGGGACAGCTCTGAGGATGTGCCTCCCCAGCCAGGGCCCGGGGGCTACTGTCCTTTAAGCATGGCGCCCGCTGTGGGAACTGCTGGGATGACGGCCGGCTGCAAGCGGGCGCTCTAGAGGGGCTAGGGCCCTGGGGACTGAGGGGGTCGTGGACCCGCACCGCCCGGCCCATGCTGAGCTGCAGCACTGTGTCCCCACTTGGGCCAGCTTGCTCCAGCCTCGGCTGCGCCCCCAGAGTCAGAGTGGGCCCCCCACAGGCTGCTCGCCACGGCCACTCTCCCTTGCAGCCTGGTGGGGCCCTGCCTGCGAGGGTCTGGGAAGAGCATTTCCCGGGGGTCCTCTGGAGGAGTTGGAGGTGATGGGCACCCTCACTGTGGCCAGCCATTCATGAAGGTGGAGCTTCTCATCCCCAGCTCTACACACAGGGTGGGGGGGGCATGGCCCCTCCCTTCCACTTTCCTCTTTACCTGCCGTGGAGATGGGTGTGTAAGAGTGTGAGTGTGTGCACGTGTAAGTGAGTATATGTGTGTGTGTGCATGAGTGAGCATGTGTGTGTTAAGGGGGCTGCTGTCGGCTCAGTGTTGGTTTTGGTGTGCGAGGGGCCAACTTCTGGGGTTTGGAGGGAACGGGGCGATGACAGGCACCTCGGTGGGTGGTGCGGCTCTTCTCTGGGATGTTCCATCATGCAGGTGTGGGGCTGTTTCTCCAGTCTCAAGGTTGTAAGAAAAAGGCAGGCTCCAAACCTAAACGTTCTTAGAAACCCTCCCATCCTGCTAGCTGGGGGGCAGTGTGCAGACATAATTGCCCTGCTTTGAGGTGGGAACAGACAGGGAGACTTCTGATGTGGGGTCGCCTGGGAGGGGCAGGAGAAGGCAGGTGGGGCTCTAGGAGGCTGTGATGACAGCAGGACAGGGACAGTGAGGGTCTGACCTGAAGCAGCAGAGGGAGGAGGGAGGCAAACCATAAGGCTCTTAACTGCAAGAAACAAACTGAGGGTTGCTGGAGGGGAGGTGGGTGGGGAATGAGGTAATTGAGTGATGGGCATTAAGAAGGGCACGTGATGTAATGAGCATTGGGTGTTGTAGGCAACTGATGAATCACTAAATTCTACCCCTGAAACTAATAATACACTACGTGTTAACTAACTTGAATTTAAATTAAAAAATTAAAAAAAAAAGAAAATGAGACTCAGAGAGGTTGAGTGATTTGTCCAGAGTCACACAGCAAGAAGGGGATGAAGCAGGGATTCAAGGTTTACTAGAGCTCATGTCTTCTGGACCCAAGCAGGCGAATGTCTGCCCCCGTTCTTGCTCCTGCCACAACTACTCAGTCAAAATGTACTCCTATGGGGAGAAGTACTTAAAAAGTACCAGACTCAGAGACGTGATATGGTCACAGATACGAATGAGGCAGGCCTGCTAGCCGTGTCAGAGGCTGCTCCTGACATGGAAGAAAGCCTTCTGCTGGGACCCCTGGTGCAAGAGAGCCGGGCATCAACCAGGCACAGGCCTGTGCGACGGGCTGGGTAAGGCAGCCCGTGGACCGTGACCTCCTCTGGACAGCTGGGCCCCGCACCCCCCGAGGTGGGAGCGAACCCTGGTCCAACTCAGCCACTAATCAGAGAGTCCCTGTCCACCCACATCCCTGGCACTGCGTGGGGCAGGCTGGGCTGAGACACCCCCCAGGATGTCCCTCTGACCTGGTCCTGCTGAGAGAGCGGTCTTTACAGTGAGAAACGGAGGGGCCCAGAGGCCCTGTCACCGCGACAACATACCCCTTGCGGCAGCAGGAGTGTGTGTGCGGGGGGCAACGGCCCACAGCCAGGACGCGGGCTGCTTGCAGGGTGCCTGCCCTGGGCGCTTGCACTTCCTTTCTTGGAGCAGCAATGAGGCAGTGGGAAAGAATCCTCTCCCACCCAGCCGGGCCTGCCCTTCACCCGAGACACCAGATACGACTTGGAAGCCAGCTGGACATTCCTGTGTTGGGCTGTTCAGAAACGGACCACAGCCCCACTGCTCAGAGAGGCCCCGAGTACCCCCTGCTTCGGCCCCCTTCTTCCTCTCAGCGCGCTGCTCTCTCGGCAATGCCCCCTGTCCCAAGGGACTGGGCCTCTGACCTTGGTAAAGCCCTTGGCCAACCCCGCGCCCGCCCTCTGGCTCTATTTGTTTATAAATAGGCCCATTTCTCATCTTGCTCCAGCCCAGAGCTCCATACCCAAGAGGCAGATGCAACCTCGGGATTCCCTTTCCAGCCAAGGGCAGAGCAGGACCCGGCGGGCTTGTGGGCCTGAGGGATGAGGTCACAAATTCTCCTGCAAATAGCAGCTCACCCTGGACAGTCCGAAACACAAGCCTGCCTGTGCGTTCCTTTCCTGTGACTGTCCTAACAGATCACCACATAGTCTCTCTGTTTTGGAGGCCAGAAGGCCGACATCAAGGGGTCGGCAGGGTCACTCTCGCTCCCGAGGTTCCAGAGGGAGGGTTTTTCTGTGCCTCCTCCAGCTTCTGGTTGCACCATTCACTCCTTGGCTGTGCACATACCCCTCCAATCCCTGCCTCAGTGGTTATATCACCTCTTCCTCTTCTGTCTCGAATGTCCTCTCCCTGTCTCTTCTAGAAGGACACTTGTCAGTGGACTTAGGGCCCAGCAGGATACGCCAGGATGATTTCCTCGTCACGAGACCCTTAATTCCATCTGCAGTGAAGCTTTTTCTAAATAAGGGCACATTCATAGGTTCTGGGGATTAGCATGTGGACGTAACTTTCGGGTGCCACCATTCAGCTCGCTGCAGCTTGTCACGAATGAAATGTATGGAGATGGCCATCAGCAGGTGCGTCAAAGGAGGGAGCCCGAGAAGAGGGATTTGCAGTAGAGAGATGCAAGCAGGGGGATGCCTACTGGTCTGCTGTCTGGGCACCTCCCGCTCCTCCCCCACAACACCGACGCCAGGTAAATCGTGCTGATCCTGAAGGCAACTCTACCGATGGACTACCACCGGCTAAGCTGAAGACGCAAGAGAGGCTGCCTGTTGTCTTCGGCTTGGCAGTTTGTGGGTCAGCTGCCCAGCCTCGGCTATCGGCTGGATTAGTAAATCGTCAATAGATCCGGTTGAGCTAAGACAGCTGGAGTAAGCAGACCACACATAGGCACTTCTTATTTTGGCTTTCGTGGTGACGTGGTATGATTTGTAGCTTGGCCCTCGGCCACCACAACACTCACAAAGCCTGGTCAGCTGTCACCGTGTCATGCTCTGTGCTGACTGAAATGACCTGCGTGTAACTTCACGGCGCACGGAAAGAACAGTCTCTGGAGTCACACAGACCCCCTGGCTGGGTCCCCTCCGTCCCTCGCTGCTGGTGGGAACTTCTGGAGGCTCCGACAGTTTTCTCCTAGGTCAAACGAGGAGGGACAAACCCACCTGCAGACATGGCTGCAATTACGAAGGTAGATTGTATTTCAAGGGCTGGCACGTAGTAGGCACTCATTAAATGGTCGTTTTGATTTCAGGATGGGGAGGGTGCCGCTGTCCACCATCCACAGAAGCCTGAAACTTTCCACTGCCTCCTCCCTCGCCCTCTCCCTCTGCCCAAGTCCTGCCATGTCTTGACTGCTTCCCTGGGCCCCCACAGCAGCTCCTGGCCCCGGTCCCTGCCTCAGGCTCCCCACTCTAGGCCCGCTGCCCATAGCAGCCAAGGCCAGTGATAGCTCTGGTTTTGTCACATTCCCTGCCTGCCTAAACGTGTTGACGATTTCGCACGCTTGCTGGATCAAGTCCCTCAGAATCAGCTCCACCCACGTGGCAGCCTCAGGGATCGCTGCTCCTCCCTCACCCAAGGAGATCCCGAAAAACGACGGAATGCCATGATCGAAGAAGCTGCCACAGCCCCTAGTGCCTCTTGGAACGGCATCACCTTTGTGCCATCAGTACCAAGGTGAAGAAGTGAGGATGGAGCAGGTCAGGCAGGGAGAGACAAACCGGGCACCGGGTCCAGCCAAGCTGGGTCTAGCGGAGACCGGAATCCAGGTCAGTGACTAGAGGCATCAAGTCCAGAGGATGAGTGTGAGACGCCACTTCCAAGGGGCCAGTCCAAGAGCAGAGCCAGCAGGGAAGTGACAGGTAAGGCATCAGAACCAGGGAGCTCACAAGGAGCACTGCCAGTCTCTTCTCAAAGGCTTCCGACTGGCCCAGCCACATCCAAAAGCCTCCACTGGTCTTACAGGGCTGGTATCAGACAGAACCCTGCACCTGGCATTCAGGGACTCCCATGACCCAGGTAAGAAAGGAAGTCTTAAGGATGCAGGTGGCATTTTCATCTTGCTGAAGGGCCTGGCTTTGAGAGGAGGGGTAGTAGCCTCTGGGAGGCGGCCAGCTGGCCTCATAGATGACGTTGGAAATGGGTCTGGTTGTTCTGAGCTTCCAGAGTTGCTACAGAACCAGTGGGGGCCCCCACAAGGACAGGGGGTGTGGTAGGTGGCAGCCCTCCTGATCCAAAGGGCTAGAACTGACAGTGGAGGGAAAAATGGGTGCAGAGATCCCAGATATCTTTTTTTTTTTTAAGATTTTATTTATTTATTTGAGAGAGAGAGCATGAGAGACAGAGAGCACGAGAGGGAAGAGGGTCAGAGGGAGAAGCAGATCCCCTGCCGAGCAGGGAGCCCGATGCGGGACTCGAT